GCAGGATTTGATTGCTCTCATGTGTCAGTTGTGATAGAATTTCACAGACAATGGACCTGCCTTTAAAAAAAAGATTATTTTCAGGAAATAGAAAGTGCTTGAGTTATGGGCCTTATGGAGGGCTGGGCAGGTGTCTTTTCTCATCTGGTTATTCCTGAGGGCTAAGACCTATCAGGACATAGAGAGACAAACCCACACACCATTTACAGACCAATGGGAGTGAGTAAGGGGTCTAACTGATGTTTATTTCATGCATGTGGTCATACAAAAAGATTAGCCAACCAACCACCAATCTTCAGGCAAACATGGTTATAATTATTTAATGGTCAGCTATACTCTCCTCCCCATCATCAGTACTGGGAATCTATGCCAAAAGCTATCAGTCATTGGCATCTGCTGTATACCAGCCTCCCCACTTCCACCATAGGACTTTACATGCATTTTCTCATTTGAAGCTGCCAACACTCTCTAAGGTAGAACCAATGTGCTATGGTTGTCATGGATATACAAATGATCTTACCTGAACTAAATAACTACCTAACTGTCAAGGAGCTTGCCCAGGATCATAGAGCTAACATGTGAGGCAGGGGTGGGGGGGGATCTACAATTCACACTCAGATCTATTTTGAGCTTCTGCCCTAAATCCCAAAATGACTAATAAACAGTGAACCTTTTTGCTTTTCATCCTATTTCTTTTTTAATCTATGTTTTTTCATTCTAACTTTGAATCTATTCTCCGCCCAGAAAGAGGCAGAATACTACAAAGACTGAGTTCTCTTAAAAGCTGTCTTTGCATTTTCTAAGGACTACTGGGCTGTTATGGGTGTTGATGTTCTTGTTTTGAAAAAATATCTACCTGAGTCAAATTTAGGAAAATAATTATGCATCTAAGGCTCAGATACTTTGGTTTTAGATTTGGAGGGGGATACAAGGGAAAATAATTGCGTCAGAAAATAGAGTGAATATATGAAAGTTGAAATTTTCCCTGTTTAATTCAATTCCCCTACCCTCATCTATGTATATTATTTCTCCCTCCTGTCCTACACCTCAAACTTCCACGTGGTCTGCTTTTTGCCCTGGGATAGACACGCAGATCTTTATTCGATTACAAATTAATGATGTTTGTGTTATCATTTTTATTTATTTGTGTGTTTTTGTTGCATTCCACTTTTCTATAGATAAAACTCTCTTCCCAGGACTTTGCAAGTGGTATTGTTTTAATAAACTCCTGAATCTAGGAGTTTCAGGAGGGAAACTCCTCCTGAAATGGGGGGAACACAAGTTGCAAGACCTCCTAATGGTATAGAGCACCACAAGTTCGATTAGAACATTCAGTTCATCCTGATCTTTTTGACATTTTTTAGTTTTTCAAAAGATGCAACCTTTTAAAAGAAACTAAAGGAATCTAGAAGTAGCTGTATCGTATCTATCTCTGTTGGTTTGTTTTATAGAATGTCAGATTCCTTCATCCCCACTCTTTAGCCGGTGTGTGTTTCTCATCTCTTGTAACCTAAAATCTTTATGTAACCTAAAATTTTTGGAAAATCCTAGAAATGTGATCCTTGATGACCTAATTCAATTGAAGCCATACAAGTGCAGATGGAAATGAGTTTGGGTAGATGGTACTTACTACAGTCGGAATCTTTGTGCTCTCATCAACATCATCACCTTTTCTCCAGCCCCTTTCACCTTCTCTGTATATACTATGCTGAAATAAAGTAAATCACCTGTTTCCAAGAATGAAACAAGGAAAATATAAGAGTGCCAATTAATTCCACTTGTTTCTTGAGCAGATCTTGAAGGGCTGTGTGTATTTGTACATAGCTATTTATATAGAGCTTTAGGTTTAGGCCAAATTCTGTACCAGTGAGGCAAGTTTATGAATTAAAGACTCCAGCACAAATTAATTTAATTCTGAATTATCTACAGAATTGCAGACTCTCTATTGGAACCTTATCCTTTTGGTTTCAGTCAAATATTCTTAGATTTTGTCTAAATTAATTTTTGATTTATCACTGTACAAAAGACAGGAACAGGTGTGCCTTTTAAAAGTACCCAACAGAACCTCTAGAAAAGCAACAACAAAATAAAGCAACAGCATTATTGGCCATTGAGCTAATATCAAAGAAAACATTCAGCCAAATAATTTTCCTGCCAGTTACATCACTCTATACATATATCATTTTTTTCAAAGATCACTTTTTAGTTATATAAATATTTCATTGCCCTTCCTCTCAGAAACTTTATACACTCTCTTGCCCCCAGGGGATATTTTATGTTTGAGGTTAAATCTTGAGGAAATGGAGATTTTATTGAAAATATCGACAGAATTTAATCTACATCAGAAGGGAGTGAATGAGGGCAGAACAAATAGCACTTCCTTAATATGTAAACTTTAAAGTCTAAAGTGAATGATTTTTATAAAGGATCCCATCAGAAATTCCCAGGAATTGACATATAAGAAATGTCAGCAGTTACAATAAATTTAAGTGACGTAGAGGAAGAAAAAGTTGAGGAGGGGAAAGGACAACAATACATCCAAAAGTTTAATCTTTTCCAATGGAAATTCCCCACTCCAACTACTTTATTGAGCAAAGGATTTGCTCTTTTAGGTGCTGCTATAAGTTTTGAGGCTCACATTTGTAAAGTCACAGAGGCAGCATTTGGTCAGAAAACAACTGTGTCATGGAAGACAAGTCCAAGTTATAGGTGTCACGTGGGCTGAGCTCCTGACATACACCCATATGGCACAATTCTGGCATCTAGTGTGAGCACCCGGGTTTGGGACTCTCAAGGAAAATCTGTGCTGCTAAGTGTTTAAGTCAACCAGAGAGCTACAAAGGGAGCTTCTTTGAAAGACGAGTTCAATTATTTATTAGCACTCTCAGAGAACAGTGTCAGGCAAGATAGTATTTGAAATTAATATACTATTTGATTAGACTGATTGATTGTTTCTACAGCTGAAGATTTTAACATTCATTATCCATAGTAACCAGTCATTAGTACTTCCTTTATCAGAAAGCAAAGAATAAACAGAAGTTCTAATAAAAATTCATCACTGTGAATGTACTCCATACCTAAGTGAGTGTGATGACTGCCAGTGTTCTAGATTAACTGCTGTAACATTGGCAGCAGGAAAGATTTCTGTTATAAAATTTAAAAATATCCTTTAATTAATGTTTACTTTGTAACTGGACTCTTTTAAACTTAAGTAGGCTATATGGAAAATCTCTTACATATCCAGTATAATAAAGTACTAATAGGTATTTTACACTTAATGAGGCTGTGTGGTATCTTTAACTACTAGTTTCAGGAAGAATTGAGGGCTTGTTAGGATAGGTTTTTGAGTGTGCTGCTGGTGAAGCCTTTTCCCTACTACTGAGGAATAAAAGCATCATGGCCTGTTTTTCAACTAGACTGTTAAAATAATTCTACATTGTAATGCAAATATGCTGATCTATTATACTGTGTGACATCTCTCTCTCCCTACCATGTCATGAATCCCTTACAGTTTTTAGGACAAATGGAAAGGAATAATGAGAAGGAGAGAAGAAGATAGGCAGGGAGAACCCTTTATGAATGGACTGAAAACCACTCTGGAGCAATGCTACATGTATTCAGAATTATAGCTACCTCATATTGACTGCCTCGTCCAGCCCTTCACAAGCATTGGCTTGTTAGTATTCAGAATTCTCTCAAAAAATAAATAGTCCTAGCCCCCCATAACAAGTGTGTGAAGAGATTGGTGCTCAGAAAGGCTAAGGAACTTGCCCAAGGCCACTCAGCTGGGAGGCAGCAAAGTCAGCATTTCAACCATTCTGCATAGTTTCGGAGCCATGGTCATCTGCCTGACTACCCTGCATAAACATAAGCTGAGCTGATTATTATATTTGAGTTTCTGTGTAGAGATGAGCCTGTCAGGGCCTACACACCTGTATCACCTCTCTTGGCTCTAGCATAAATCCGGACAGCTGGACAGCAAGTGAGGATGGTGAAGGATTCTGGACAGAGTCCAGGAACACATTCAAACCACTGTGTCTCAAAATATGTCAAGCTCTACCTAAACAAGTTAAAACCAAGAAGTCCAAGGAAAGATCAAGGATCCCAACTGTGTTGGCAGGGTGCAGCACAAGAGAATCTGGGTTAAGTCAAACTTGAGAGCCAGAAAAGTCTTCCAATAGCTGTTATTCTGGGGCTACAGGTGGGCTGCCTTTAATAAATAGAGGCAGGACTGATGATAGACAAGTTAACAAGATCAAAGTAGAGTCTCTGTCATAGAAAGAGATTGGGGAAGAGAGAAACTGAGAGAACTGGGGCCCAAGACTCAGCTCCAGGAAGATATAGGTGAGGAAACCAGTCAAGTGTTGCTTGTCTTGAGTCTATTTGGGATCAGGGCCAAATTCTCAAGAGGCAGAGCCCTGAAAGGGAAGGCAGAAGAAAGGATAGATAAGGAAGAGTCTCTGACCAAGAATAGTTCTACAGGTGTCCATAGGTGTATCCTATTTCCCAAAGGCAAAGGCCGCTTCAAGTGGAAAACCCAGAAATGGACGCAAGAGGAGGTTTGTGATTTGTAGCTGCAGATAGCATTCTACTGTTGACTGCAGAACGAAGAGCATCAGAGTGAATGTGCCTTAAAGATGTCATAGGCTGTTCTCTACTTACCTTCATTTACCCAGCAGTTTTATCTTCAGCCAATCCCAGGTTAAGAATGTTGAAGAATCAGTAGGAAATGGTTAATTCCAAAACTGAACAACTTGACTGTAATAATCTAACATTTTACTCAATGTGATTGCCTTCAGTGATAAATTGCCATTGATAGAAAAGCCTATTTCAATAATTTTGGATGCTACTCCAGAGAAGAATAGAGCTGATAATTATGATATCTTTCAAATCCATGCTTGGGGCAAATTTCTTTCCTGACTCTTCCAAGAGATTTTGAATGGATAAAATACTCATACTTATGTTCCCTAATTCTTCTTTTGTTTCTTCCCCCTACACAGGAGCCTTTGAATGTGATTGATCCTGGCTTGATGGACCTAAATGGGACAAGTGAGGATGCCCTGGAATGGGATGAAACTGACATAAGTAACAAGTTAATTAGTTTGAATGAAGAGTCAAATGACCTTGATCAAGAATCCCAACATCTCATGCCTTCCTTAAAGCTTGAAGAGATAGGTGGTGAGGACCCTGGTTATGAAGAAGAGGCAGGTGACCATGGGGGATCTCAGTATGCTTCAAGCATCACTATCCCCTCCAGTCCACACATTTACCAAGTGTACAGCCTTCACAATGTTGAACTCTATGAAGACAGCAGCATGCCATTCCTGAAAAACAACCCGAAGTTCACCAGCATGACACAGCCTAGTGTTTTGACTAAGAGTCTCAGTAAAGACTCTTCATTTTCATCTACCAAATCTTTGCCGGACCTTCTAGGAGGTTCCAATTTGGTGAAGCCCTGCCCATGCCATGGAGGAGACATGAGCCAGAATTCAGGCAGTGAGAGTGGAATCGTCAGTGAGGGAGACACTGAAACCACTACCAACTCTGAAATGTGCTTGCTCAATATGGTGGATGGGTCCCCAAGTAACCCTGAAACTGAACATCTGGACCCACAAATAGGAGATGCAGTTAACGTGTTAAGGCAAAAATTTAAAGATGAGGAGGAACACATTAAGCTTCCAAATAGCTCTCAGTCATCCATTTCACCAGTGGGTTGTGTAAATGGAAAAGTTGGAGATTTAAACAGTGTTACCAAATATACCCCTGATTGTTTGGGAGAAGAATTACAAGGAAAACATGATGTGTTTACATTTTATGATTACTCATACCTCCAAGGCTCAAAACTCAAATTACCAATGATAATGAAACAGTCACAAAGTGAAAAAGCACATGTGGAGGATCCCCTACTTCATGGTTTTTATTTTGATAAAAAATCCTGCAAATCCAAACATCAGGCTACAGAGTTACAACCAGATGCACCTCCCCATGAGAGGATTTTGGCAAGTGCATCCCATGAAATGGATCGAAATTCATATAAAAGTAGTGATGTAGAGAAGACATTCACTGGCATGCAGAATGCCAGACAGCTCTCCCTTTTATCACATAGTTCATCTATTGAGTCCCTTTCTCCAGGGGGTGATTTATTTGGATTGGGCATCCTTAAAAATGGCAGTGACAGCCTCCAGCGAAGCACTTCTTTAGAAAGTTGGTTGACATCCTATAAAAGCAATGAGGATCTTTTTAGCTGTCACAGCTCTGGGGACATAAGTGTGAGCAGTGGCTCAGTTGGTGAACTGAGTAAAAGAACATTAGATCTCCTGAATCGTTTAGAGAATATCCAGAGCCCTTCAGAGCAAAAGATAAAGCGAAGCGTTTCTGATATCACTCTCCAAAGTAGTTCCCAAAAGATGCCCTTTACTGGCCAGCTGTCTTTGGATATAGCATCTTCTATCAATGAAGACTCGCCAGCCTCTCTTACAGAACTTAGCAGCAGTGATGAGCTCTCTCTTTGCTCAGAGGATATTGTATTACACAAAAACAAGGTCCCAGAATCAAATGCGTCATTCAGGAAGCGCCTAACTCGTTCGGTGGCTGATGAAAGTGATGTCAATGTCAGCATGATTGTTAATGTCTCTTGCACCTCTGCTTGCACTGATGATGAAGATGACAGTGACCTCCTTTCCAGCTCTACCCTCACCTTGACAGAAGAAGAGCTATGCATCAAAGATGAAGATGATGATTCCAGTATTGCAACAGATGATGAAATTTATGAAGAATGCAACTTGATGTCAGGGCTGGACTATATAAAGAATGAACTACAGACTTGGATTAGACCAAAGATTTCCTTGACAAAAGATAAGAGAAGGTGTAATATCAGTGATGAGATAAAGGGCAATAAGGATGTAAGTAGTAGTGAGATAACCAATCCATCTGATACCCTGAACATTGAGGCTCTACTAAACAGCTCCATAAAATGTCTCTCTGAAAATAATGGAAATGGTAAGAATTTACCCCATACTCATGAGATAGGGACAAAAGGTGAAAATAAGAAAAATATTTTCAGAGTTAATAAAGATCCATATGTGGCTGACATGGAAAATGGCAATATCGAAGGCACTCCAGAAAGGCAGAAGGACAAACAAAATGGGATTTCAAAGGAATCAGAAAATCTTGGTTCAGCTGGGAAAAAGAATTCAGACAGTGAGCACTGTAAGTGTAAAGTATTTATGGATAGCTCAGATGATTCAAATATTGCTGGAAAAGAATTTGTTCCCCAAATTGTTAGACATCGTCCAAAGAAATGTCAAAACCACCACCATGTTGAAAACCCAACTACTGTTCCTACTCCCACTGAGAAGTCTTGCTCAGAACTGCACTCAAAAACCAGCGTTATCAGTAGACAGGATTCTGAGGCACTGAAATCTTCATCTAATGATGTACCAAGTATGGCTGGAAAATCTGCTCCCTGCTGCCTAGCACTTGAACAAAATGAAACAGAGGAGAATGTTTCTGTCAGCGACAGCATTTCCTGTTGTGACTGTGAGCCAGATGTTTTCCATCAAAAAGATGCTGAAGATTGCTCAGTACATGACTTTGTTAAGGAAATCATTGACATGGCTTCAACGGCCCTGAAAAGTAAATCTCAACCTGAAAATGAGGCAGCTGCTCCTACCTCATTAACTCAAATCAAGGAGAAGGTGTTGGAACATTCTCACCGGCCAATCCAACTGAGAAAAGGGGACTTTTATTCCTATTTATCTCTCTCATCTCATGACAGTGATTGTGGGGAGGTCACCAATTATATAGAAGAGAAGAGCAACACTCCATTGCCACTGGACATTAGTGATTCTGGGTTAGAAGACAAGGACACCGAATGCTTCTTTGAGGCCTGTGTTGAAGATGACCCAGATGGAGATGAGCCCTGCATCTCCAACGCTCCTCCAAAAGAATCTACTCTTTCTGTTGAAGCTGTTTTGGCACCACAAGCAGCATCTGGCTCTTCTAAGTTCAATGATATTTCTCTCTTGGCTGATGAGGCAGACATGGTGGCTCTTTCAGGCCCTTCCCAGCAGAAAGAATCTGATGTTGGAAAGGAAGGGGATGGTTTACCCCAAACTACTCTCTGTGGGAAAAGCTCAGAGTTAACTACTTCACAGCTGGGCAGTGAAAAGGAAAGTTCAGAAAACATAGGTGAATCTGGAATGCCAGGAGAACATAATGCTGCTTCAGCCAAATCTAGAGTTCCAGGACTCTCCTTGACAGCAAAGCAGGCAAAAGACAAGGCTGCATTGCATCCCAACCCCAAAACTTTAACCTGTGAGGAAAATCTAAATGTTCATGAAGAACAACATAAAAATATGCATAGGTAGAATGCAACCCTCTCCACGCATGAAAATCATCTCATTGAAAGGTATGTCTAGTCCTCGTTTTGATATATATTTTTAATATCATTAAAATATACATATACACACACACACACTTGAAATGTGAGTTTGAGTCAACAATGCCATGATAAGAGAACACACTAGTCAGAATGACTGGTCATGGCAGATATTTATTTGAATAAGACATTTAGGTGGAAGAAAGATTCCCAACAATGCAAGTAACTGTGAAGCAAAAGAGAGAGAAACAGTCACAATTGACATTTTTAGGAACATTATCTGTATGACATCATTCCAGCAAGAATACCCAATCTGAGGAAGTAGCTAGATAATTTAGGGCCTCACATCCTTCAATTGAGGGAGCAAAGAAGATTCTCCCAATTGCAATTATAGGCTCCGATCAAAATGCATGCACAGTGACAATGCTTCCCACTTGAGTCTCCTGCACACAGAGATGCCCACACCCTTCAGTGCCTGGAAATGAACAATGATTAGGTAAAGGCTGCAGCTCCTGATCTGGGCCTTCCTTTTATGCTTCTGTCTAATATAACTATCATCATGTTTGCTTTCCCAGTGGAAGGCTGTGCTGTCATAGCTCCTGATCATGGCCAAGTCTGAGGATTCACACAGAGGGGAAAGTTGATGTTATTTACCCACTCACAGACCGAGAACAGTCCCAGAAACCAAACGCAGAGAGAATACATGACAAGTTAATGGCATTTTGATAAAAACAGAATTTTTGAATTTTGCCTGAAGGTGACAGGCTGATTTCCATCAAAATTTTTTAAGAAAGTCATTCCATTCTTCGTATTTAATAAGACAGCTATTGATTGATTATTCTGAGATGATGATATAGCTCTAAAAGTGACACAAAAATTCTGTTATTTTCCATTTCTAAACCCCAGTGATGAATATACTTACTCAATCAAGGCTAAAGAATAAAATTTGAGCTTTTGAATGTGAGAGTTGTATCTCACCAAAGTGTGAGGTGCCGAATGGCATCTCCACCCCCAACTCCAAGAAGCTTAATGCCGTAACCTAAACTCGTGCTATAGGAAATGAATTACAGAAGCAATCTACCCTAATTTGTTAACTTATTCAAATAACAGTTATTATACTTAACTATGCTAAAGATTATCTTTTTTGTGGCAGATTGTTTATTTTTTGATGAGCCTAATTACTGATTTTCTAAAAGTAATTTACATTTATTACAAATACATCTTTTAAAATGTGACAGATAAATGTTGTTCCCATAATGTATTATGAAAAAAGTTACTATTTAAAAACACATTATTTAATTTGAAAGATGAATGGCAAACATCATTATTTTTTTTCCTGCAACACCTGTGCCCTAAGCTCATTAAAATGTGTGATTCTGTGTAGAGCTGCTAGAAATGGGGAGTGGGGGGATCTATACCATAGATATACCCTAAAAATAAACTCAGTGTGCAAAACTGAAGAAAGACATCCTACTTACTCATGTAGCTCAACTAATTTTCTGTGTTTCAGACTCAATTTACAATTGGCTGCAAGTGAGAACAAAAGTAGGAGAGAGAGAAATGTATTTTCTGTGAAACATGTCCACCCTGTAATCACATTCTCCATCAGTATGCAGTAAAACTGACCATTATGGGAGAGTAACTGCAATTCCATAAGCTGCTTCTAAACAAGTTCTATTAGTACCAATTGTACTGCTGGCTCTGCCAACCTCCACAGAAGGGCTGGTGGAGCCTGGCTGATTTCTGTTTTCTGAAAGGGGATAAAAGGCTGGAAAGTAACACCACTACGAACATGATATCATGTGACGATGACTCTGAAGTCACCAGTCATGCTGATATCCAGAGTTCCAGAGGCTCTGGTACTGGAGAAGCCTCCGGGTCACACTCTTCCCTTTTAGACACTCTGGGAATTTCTTCTGTCCCTTACATAGCTAGAGAATTGACATGTAAACGACAAGCAGCCCCATCTTTAGACACAGGGAAGTGAATGTGCTGTTGGATCTGTGTAGCCCTCAACATTTTACCAACATGACAGTGTGAAACTATCAGCTAGCCTGCCTGCCAGCCAGTAATATTTTGTTGAGCTCCCCCACCCCAACCCTCCCAAGATGTGGTTCCTGCCTGATCTCAGGCAAATGGGGCGGGGAGCAGCCAGATTTTACTTCTGCAGAACTCACATCGCCCCCAAGTGACTTGTTACCACCCGAGGGCCATTTAAATAGCTATATTTACTGGTCCTTTTCATTTTTCTCAGTATCATACAGACAAAATACCTGAATGCCCAGATTTTTCAGTAGTCATTAGCATTGGGTACCTGGGTATTTTACATTTTGTTAAAATACTACTAACCAGGCTGATTTGTTGATTTATTGATTATTTATTATTGGGAGAGACAGTGTGAGTGGGGGAGAGAGAGGGAGACCCAGTATTGGAAGCGGCTCCAGGCTCTGAGCTGTCAGCACAGAGCCCAATGCGGGGCTCGAACTCACGGACCGGACTGTGAGATCATGACCTGAGCTGAGGTCGGATGCTCAACCGACTGAGCCACCCAGGCACCCCCAGGATAAGTTATTTAATCTCAAAACATTGGCATGCCTTTGGTGTTAAATATCAGGAATACATAGTAAAATTATTTGGTAAATATGAGACTTCATGTCTATAAAAGCTTAACTGTTCTCATTATTCCTCCTACAAGATTCAAAAGAGGAAAAAATGTTCTACTTTTTAAAGCCATTTCAAAACCATCAGTTGGGGTGCTCTATCAGGGTAATAAAATACACCATATTCAATTTGCTAGGCTATTTTTTTTCAGAAATAAGTTCTCAGATGATGAAGTGATGATGTCATCTGGAAGAACTTCAACTTAGAATAGCAGATATGGTCTGCCACGGTAACAAAAATTGTTTTTCAAAAGTTTTTGAGAAGATTTTTCAGTTGCTGCTCTAATTAAAAACCCACTGAACCCATTGGAGTTTAAAATGTGATCTAACACAGGATGCATTTGCACTGATTTCTAGGCACACTGCTGGGTTTTTCACTATTTTCATTTATGTGTCATGTTTCTACAAAAATAGAAAGGTCAGTTCTAGCAAATTACATCAAAGGAAAGGTAACTGGGTAGATCCAGATATTTTTGCCTAATTTGAAGGAAGCACATAATGTATGTCTAGAGTGCCTCCTAGGACCTGCCTAAGAGATGTACTTTGCACTAATCTTTCTGCTGTATTCTGACAGTTATTTCTTCATAATCCTCATCATAAGCCTCTGATCTTTGGTGAATGATTTAACCGTAAACTTCAGGCTGGATAAATCCTGTGGTATAAAAGTTTAACTCATCACATTCAGCCAATGTGTCCTTTTTTTTCCCTTTCGGTTTACTCTGGTTTTCAGTTTTGTTTGTGTATGTGTTTATGTGTGTATGTTTTGGAGGGGCTGTATTTACTTAGGACTCATATATTTCCTTCAGATCTTTTTAGCTCCATTGCTTTTCCTATCTTATTGGTCTGCAGATTTGATTGTTGGTAGCTCATAGATTTTAGATTTTTCAGCAATTACGTGTAATTATGCATGCTCGAGCATACACATACCTAGTGAAATTGTTGCTACTCAGTTTTTACCAATTGAGAAAACCTTAATAGCACATATTCCTCAGATATACTATATAAATTCTTATTCTGTTAGTTGGATTGACGCTAAGTGTTTAATATGATCTGAAGCTGGCCAAGCAGATTTAAGAAACTACTCTGGGTGATAGTGTATTAATCTTTTACTAAAGAATGCAAGTATAATCTTATCAAAGTTACCTTTAAAATCACTTTAATAAATCAAGGTTCTTGTGGATGTGAAATGTTTTTTAATGATCCAGCACTTCTGGGGGCACCTGGGTGGCTCAGTAGGTTATCCAGCTTCAGCTCAGGTCATGATCTTATGGTTCATAGGTTTGATCCCCGCATCAGGCTCTGTGCTGACAGCTCATAGCCTGGAGCCTGCTTCAAATCTGCATCTCCTTCTCTGTCTCTGCCCCTCCTCTGCTCTCACTCTGTCTCTCTCAAAAATAAATTTAAAACAATTTTAAAAATAAAATTAAAAAAATAAAAAAATTATCCAGCACTTTTGAATAACTTGCCCTACCATGCTAAATAATGAAATTTTATTGAGCATCACCCATCACACACACACACACACACACACACCACAACACAACACAACACATATCCCACATCCCAGATCTGTACTTCAATGAATTTTGCCTGCGCCTTTCCAAGTGGGCCAAGTTGAAAGAATTGATTATCCAGAGAAAATTTAAATACCAGTATTTAGTAAGGCCAGCTTTGCTTCACCTAAGGATTCCTTACTCAATGTCCAGATTTCCAGTGAGTCATGTCCTCAGCATGTGAACAATGCACCCTGCTCTTTCTTGAGTTACTGAAGCATTTTACTGTACCAAATTTTGTGCCATCTGTTCCTCTCTATCTCTCTATCTCTCCCTGTTCTTGAGAACCTGCCTTTTCTCCCCAGCTTCCTATGGCATCAGCCAAACCACATTTTCTAGTTTTTCTGGCTTTTAAACAGGTTACAAGATTATACAGAAAAAGAAAGAGAATGATAATATTTAATTCCAGAAAGATAAAGCAAACTGACATCAGACATCAGAACTCCTTTTAAACCCAGACAAGCAATACCTGCTTTATTTGAGAGCTGGTCAGTGGGTTTAAAGAAACCACATCCTGTACTGCCTGTACCTGGAATTTAGTTGTTCCTCACATCCAACTTGTTACTTTCAGCCACCTAGAAATAGGCAGAACTGACTGAGTTTGGAACGACTTTGTATCTGAGCTATCAAAGTGTATAAATGTAATTGAGTCATTCTTATTTGCACAGTGCATCTGTACCTTTAATGAAATGCATTCATATTTGAGCTAGAAGCCCAAGTTATCTGCTTTTACAGACAAGGGGCTGAAACATTTGGGAGCATAACGATGCTATGAATATTTCACTGCTATATAATAGCGTAATTGTTCAGTTCCACTGTCACACATACAGTCACTGAAATAAAGGTTAAACCACCTGAGGGCCCAGGTTCCCAGTCGGTGAATGACTGTTGATACTTTGCTGCCTCACTTGGCATCAGCAGCCTCACATTTTCATAATGATTTGAAGCTATTTTGAGTGTTCAAAACTGAGTTCACAAGCAAAAGAATAGATGATATCCAGGGAAAAGGTCAAACTTGATGATATTTCTTGTTTTCTTCAAAACAATGTCACTTAAAAAATCAATGTATTTTTCAGTGGATTCTGAAACACCGTTGTCAGTAATAGGAATCTTGGGCTATCAAGATCTCTATGTTTTATGTATCCTTTTATTTCAGAATATCAGCAGGTAGTTCCAAAATGGCAGCCTTCCTCAAAGGGCTCGGTTTTGCAAATGAAACAGACACTTCTGATACCTTTTCTTGTCACTTTCTTGTTTTTTATAGATAAGCCTGGCTGTAACTCAGGGGTGGTCTCATAGTCCCACCCTGGGCTAGTCTGTGGTTCCATCGCGTCACTGCCATTTGTTACATTGATCTCTCCCAAGATGAATCTTCCCTCCGAATGCGATTTGTCCACATGAGCCTTGTGATCTGGATTGTGCACTGGTTTTCTTTAGGTGATTGTCTTTGAAGTTCGGCAAAGCTGCTTGTTCTCCCATGGATTCCTCTCCCAAGCTACCTCTACCAACCCTGCCTCTCCAGCGAGACTTTTCTGTTTGCCTCCTCCCTCCCCATCTACTCTTTAAAGTTCTGCGGTCCACCAAATTGATGGTCCATTAAAATTCACATGTCTGGAATGATCCCCTTGCTGGTACTTGACCAATTTCATGTTTCAATCTGGATTTTTTTTTAATGGTATGATTCCTATGTTTATTGAAAGAGATTTACCTAAAAGGCCAATATTTGATTTGATTGCAGCATACAGAAGAAACACTGGTCCTTCTTTCAAAATTAAGCAACTTTTAAAAGCGTCATTTTATTTATTTCATTTTAAAAATCATCTATGCAGCACTTCAAGAAACAACTATATGGTGTTGTATATTATAAACTGGTGACATTCTACTATTAAATTATGTACAACATTTTCGTTTTTTATGCTTCTTGAGGTGGTAATGAGAAAAAAGTTTTTTAAAAAAGTGTGCCTTGCTGTATTTCTTATACCATTTATTAAAAAGCTGCTTTCACAGTAAAATTATGTTGGTTTGAAAGGAGGAAATAGCAAGGTTAAGATGTGTGAATAATTTCTGTATATATGTATAACCAAGTACAAACATTGATGTATAATGACAGTATAAAATGCTTTCATGTTTATGATGTCTAGTGATGTGGAAAATATAAGCCTTAAACCATTAGATTGCATGGTAATTAAAATTGGCATAATAAACATAGTTCATTGGGGGAAAAGGAAAATCAGTGATCTCTTCTACCTGTGTTCTTTACCAAATTGTTACATCTGGTTCTGGAAAAACTAGAACATGTAGTAGCTTCCAAAATATCCATATTGCTTAAGAGGCTTAAACTTAAACTACACGTGAAGCCTTCACAATTTTCAAAATCTTTCTGATCACTGCAAAGATCTTAGAACACAAATGATTACATGCCAGTTCCCCTAAACCAATAAAAAGCTATCCTAGATTGTTTTATTTCTACTTATCATTAACAGTTTAATATTGGATTTCAGAATATCTAGTATGTCTCATATTTATCCTATGTAATTTTTTTGAATGGGTTTGATAGAAAGATGGTAGAGAAGTCTAGAAAATTTGACTATTTTGAATTAGACTATGGATTTCAGGTGTATTTATTTTGTGCTAAGAGAAATCAGCTGAAAAATATTCCATTTGGTCTTTACTGCTCTTGTGAAACACAGTTTTTAATTTATACCCTAACACCTACTAAAGTGCCTGATACACAGTAGGTATTCAGTAAAAAATTACTGAATTGAAGTATTGAATTAGGCAATATGTGTGACATGTACTTTTTCATTTTGAGAGACCTACGCTATAACATATAAACAACTAGAAAAATACATAATGCAGTCATTCACTCAACTGATAGTTAATTAACACCTTTTATCAGCAAGGACTGTTCTAGATGTGGGGGATGCAATGATGAACAAAGGCCCTGCCCTCCGGAGGCTTGCCTATACACTGTGGACAGAGTGAACACCCAAAGGTGATGCAGTGGTTGTCCTGCAGGCAAGGAAGAGAGTAAAGTGGTAAAAGAGGCACAAAGAAGTAGCAAAGAGGGACAAGGAGGAAGCAAGAGGCTAGAAGGGAAAAGAAAGTGAAACCACAGAAAAAGAGTGAAGTTTTCCTGCAGGGATGGTGGGAAAACAGGTAGACTGCGAGACGTAATGAGCAGTCTTTTAAAAAGTTAAGTTGGAGCTTTTGTATGTAATGTAGCAGGTAGTAAGGAGACTTTGTGGTCTTTCTTTTGCACCTGATTTTATTTATCATTAGAATATTAGCACAACACCAAGAAAAATTTTAAAATACTAGTCTATGATTTTACCATTTTCATAACAATTTATATTGTTATGTCCCTTCTAATCTTTTCCATACCTATTTCCAAATTGAATCATTCTAGGCTTTTGCATAAGTAGTAATTATTCGAAAGAAGTTTTAGGCAGACATCTAGTAACTGTGGGCAAGATGATGACAGGGGAAAGAGATTAGAGATAAATGTCTCATTAGGAGGCAGCTGTAGAAAATAAGGTAGGCTTGAAATAACAGAGTACGCAGGGATAGTGGCCAGAAATGCAGAGAAAGAAGAAATCCTAGTCTTGAACTACCTAAGAGCATTCGGGATCCCTGTTGAGGTATTGTACTATTTTATATAATGAGACAACCTAAATTTTCCTTGGGTGATGCCAAGGGCCACATTTATTGGTAAAACCTTCAAAGAACAAATTGACCATTATGTTCTATTTACCTGTTATATATGCTCATTGAATACCATGAGGTATTAAAAATCATTTACTAATTATCTACTTAATACTAACACTGAATTTGTAAGATGACTTTCACTGAACCGTATTTTTTATGGTTGGAAGGGATGAAATCACCTCAACCTCTTGCTGTGTGTAGGCACAACCTCCCTAGTCATCCTTGAAAATGGTCGCGCCAACTCTGCCACACCTTCCAGTGACAATGGTTCATTATTTGTTAAGGCAAGCTGTCCCTCCGTTGGGCGTGTCTCTTTGTTGGAAAGTTCTTTCTTCAGTGGCTAAAAGCTGCATAGAGCTCCTTTCCCCTTGCCTTTCATTATTGCTCATGATTCTAGCTCTACCCTGAGGAGCCGCTCAGAGTATTTCTACCCCTTTTTTCTCACGGCAACCTTGAAGATAACTGAGGTCAGTTACTCATCTTCTCCCAGCTGCTATGATTTCTGTTCTTCATTCCCTCAACTGCCCTTCATGTCATGATTTTCAGATCCATTTCAACCTGAACGAATGTTAGCAGACAGAATCCTTGAAACTGAGGAACTGTCTTAGTCCTCATACATGTAGAAAAATATCTGAACATTTAAGTGGTTTTCTCTAAAAATATATTCAAGATATATGTCTATTCTATTATTGTAAATTTCAATAAATAAATAAATAAATAAATAATCCATTACATCTTTAGTGGCCCAGTCTAGTGCCGGAGTCCTCTTGAATCTTTTCCTTACATGAAATCCAGACCTAACCTGTTTCCCTATTAAGCAGTGTCTTTCCTCCCTCCCCCCCATTTATTTATTCATTTATTCAGTCATTCAACAAACATTCATTGAGTGGCTACTTGTGTGAGGCACTGTGTTTGGCATTAGAGATACAAAGGCAACTAAAACATGGTCTCTGCCTACAAAAGGTTTATAGTTTTCCTTGTGAAAGTGCCTTTCATATCCTTGAATAGAATGATCACTCCAAATTAAATGATGACCCATTTATTCTGTTTTCTGTCTAGTTTCTCTACATTTTCAAAACCGTAGTGAGCAAAAATCATAGGCAGAATTATCTGGATCTGACTACTAGAAGAAGTGAAATGTTCTTTTGTATTTGAAAGTTTTAATTACAGAAAAAGTATTTCAGATTTCTGGTCACTGAGTACACATGTCACACAGCAACAGAACAATCTAAATTGAGGGCTTCTGAGAATCTTGGTTTGATGATTTTGTTGTGTTTGGTTCCTCCAGCTTAGGTTTTACCCATGCTAAAATTCCTGGGAACAAATAAGATACAAATATCAAAACATACTGAAATAATCCAGCTATTTCTTAAAGGTCAAATTATTTTAATTTCCAAATGAGTTTAGTATTATTTTAGAATTTTGATGAATATATTTCAAATTTTCTAGCTTGAACCAATTACATTTACAACTGTGTTTTATATATACTTTTCCAATTTTTATTTTGAGTAGTTTCAGACCTTTTTAAAAGTTGAATGAAGAGTACAATATTTGACATGCTCATCACTCAGATTCATGTGCTGTTAGTATCTTACCACATTTGCTTTTTCTCTCTCTTTACACATATACACATACTCTTTTTTGTGTGATTGACCCATTTGAAATTAAATTGCAGATCCTAACACTTCATTTGTAAATGCTTCAGCATAGTCATCTAAGAACAAAAGTATTATTCTACATGTCCACAATACCATCCTAACACCCAAGGGATGTAACATTGATACAATAATATTTGATAATTTGTATCAAACCTATATTCACATTTTTCCAAATACCCTAAAAATGCCCATTTATACTTTTTTGTTTTAATCCCAGATCCGAACAAAGATCATGCATTACCTTCATGTTTTCATGTCCTTTTCATATTCAACAGTTTCCCTGTGCTTTTATTCTTTCTTTCTTTGGTCTTTCATAACCGACTTTCTGAAGAGTCCTGGCCACTTTAATAGAATGACCCACAATTGGGATGTGTCCAGTTGTTTCTTCATTATTCAACTCAGGGTAAACATGTTTGTCAAGTATAGTGCATAGGCGATGTTTTGTTCAATACCTACTCTTGAATGAGGAATGAATGAGTCACTGACATTCTTGAAGTGTCTTGAAGTTCACAAATTACTCTTACAGCTCATGCTTTATTAGTTTAAGGCAGGGGTCAGCAAATTACAGGGTGGGCTAAATCTGGCATACTGCCTGTTATTGTTTGGCCTTGAGCAAAGAATGGCTTTGCATTTTTAAATGGTGGGAAAAAATCAGAAGAGTATTTCATGACATGTGAAAATTATTTGAAAATCAAATCTTGGTGTCCATGAATAAAGTTTTATTGAAACATAGCCACACACTTTTGTTTACATATTGTCTATGGCTGCTTTTGACTATAACTGCTGAGTTAAGTAGTTGTGACGTAGACTATATGACATTCAAAGCCCAAAATATTTACAATTTGGTCTATTACAGAAAAAGCTTTCCCATTTCTGGTCCACGATATTCTAGATTCTGACCCGATTTTCTTAGAGGTAGATAGATTTCCAATTGCAAAATCAATGTAACATATTAGCACCTGCACTAGTTATTTTTTTGCTTTTTAGATTTTGTTAAGGTTTCCTTTTCTGTTTCATCTTACCTTTAGTAACATAAAGTGTGCCTTGTTTCATAAATTTAACATTGTTCTACATCTACAGTTAGTTTAAGGGTTTAAATTTAGTTCACTTATTAAAGCCTGGTTTTGATTGATTTAGAGGGTTAGTCAATTACAGACTAAGTCATTAGTTCAATCAGAACCAGCAGGAAAATTGACATAACCTAAACTCCCATTTCAATTCACTGATAGGCTAGAATCCTTTCTCTAAATGTTTTTCTAAAGCATTTTTAAATCCAGGCCATTTTAGACTCAGTTTTTTTCAAACTTATTTTTTATCCAAACAAAGATAAAACCATGATCAGTGATTGTTTCAGATACACTTTCATTTCCCATGTACTGGTCATAATTAACAATCTGAATTCACCAAGGAAATAAGTGTTCACCACGGACCCTCCTGGGGCCATAGGTGGGCATTCTTATTAAATAGAAGATGTCCAAAAGTCAAACTCCTTAATTTACCTTTGTGAGCACTACCACCTCCCACTGCCACATGCCTGTGGAGGGGATACTCAAGGAAGGCTTTTAGCCACTTTCTCCTGCATAAAAAGCAACCACATCCCTTTCATATAGCAATGGCCTCCAAATATGAGACTTGGTATGTACTTGCATTTACAGAGTAAAATAACACAATGATGTGTGTAAGCCAGGCAGGCCCACAATAGTCAGGTTTCTTTTGGCAGAGGCATTTTGACCAATGCCTTCAGACCATCTGATCCTTGACTGATGGGCCCTCACTGAGGCAGAAAATATTCAAGATTATTTGCCCTTGTGTTTTGAATTAAAACAAGTCCTTGCATAAAACAACTGTCTCATTCTCTTTTCTGTTGTAACACATATAATTAGATGTTCACATGTGTGAGATCCTTCCAGGCTTTTACCAAGCATTAATAAGCAATTTCCAGTGAGGAAAGACCCTCCCCCAATCATAAAGGGGATCATAATACAGCTGAGTGGAATGACATTAATACATAACTGTGAAGCCAGTCTAATTCATACTTTAAGATTAGTTTTAAACATTGATAACTTATTATTGATTACAATTCCCTTATGACCTCATGTTTAAGAATCACTGATATTGAGGGTTATACTCTCCTGGTTGAAAAGAAGTGCTTCAAGACCTGAGAAAGGACTTCCAAGGAACAAGAGAAGCGACACCCCTCTGCATGGACGGACAGCCCTGGATGCTCCACGACAATGAAGAACTCAGACTCTCCCGTGAGTATGTTCTTTAAAAAAGTGCATTTAGGGGAAGCTAATGTAAAATGCAATGAAATTCGGCTCTAATTTACATTGAAGGAAAATGGCCAATGCTGAGGAGTTAGCCCAGGTAACTTCACATATGGTTAACTACAGAGGCATGAGATATGGAACATTAGGACCTTCCAGAGTATACAAAATCTTTCGTGTGTCTACCATGTAAGCTGCTGTGTTCATCAGCATTATAGACTGTGACATTGCTCTTTCTCCCTTCTACATCCATTTTATGTGGGAAAGATTACCAGATGTATAATCTGGTGTTTTTTCCCCACACCATCAAGACCTACAATAATGGACTTTGTCTATTTAATAAAAATAAATAAATATGTGATTTAATAAGAAACAACACTAAAGTGATTAAAATATTTCTGTGTGCTTACACTTATCCTGCCATTAAAAATATGCTAGCTCCCTATAAACAAATGGGCCGTTACAGGCATAAAACAAACATTATTCAGCAAAATTTATTCAAGAGCTAAAATGACGGAAGGTATTAGGTTCATAAAAACGCTTAAGATTCTCTTTAAATCCCAATATTCCCTAACCACTCGTTTATAAAAAATACTCTAAGGTTTATAGAATTAGTCTGGTTCTATTAGTTGATCAAGTTACTTACACTGTCAACAATTCGAAATAATTCCCTCTCTGTGTGTTGGCTTGCGTGCAAATATGTTTCATTTATTTTAAAGTGTCTTTTTATATAGAAATCCAAGTTGCTGAAAATTTATCTTGTCATTACAATGGTGTGAAAATCAAATCAATCTTCATATAGGTTCTCTTACTCCTGCCGATCTCAAGTGACTAATGACACTTACAGCAAGATTTTGTAAAATGAAATCTCCTTAACTTTTCAGGAAGCAGTTCTTTTTTTTTTTTTAATGTTGATTTATTTTTGAGAGAGAGAAAGAAAGAGGGAGAGGCAGAGGGAGAGGAGGACAGAGGATCCAAAGCACTCTCTGCCCTGACAGCAAAGAGCCTATACGGAGTTTACACTCACAAACCGTGAGATAATGATCTGAGTGGAGATCAAGGATCTGATGCTTAACTTACTGAGCCACCAAGGTGCCCCCAGGAAACAGTTCTTTTTCTACACATATACCCATTTTGCCTCTTCTGAATACTTTTATAAATGTTCTAAGTTTAGGATGGTTCTCTTACCAATGAGGTCTTTCCTTACAAACTATATGTAAAAACATTTTTTAGAAAGTAAAATTACTAATTATTTA